TATATGTTACCGGCAAAGTTTGAAATCCGGCATTCTATAGAATGCCTAGGCATTGTATATAATGCCTAAAACTAGCCGGCAATCTATGAAACGATTTATATTTTACAGATTTCCTAGGCATTCTATAGAATGCCAAATGAGAAACCGGCAAAGTATGAAATACATCTCCGTTTCGTTTCAAATATCACGTGGCAAGGCACGTGACTTTTAACGAGCGGCTCAGGCTTAGAATTTGTCAGTTGCACTCTGCGGTTTGTTCGGGAGTGTCAAAATACGCAATTTCACTTAAATTTGTTCAACAAAAAATTAGTTTTTTACTGTGGTCCATGAAAATGGAGGAGCAAGCTGTAGTGTTGGAGAAGGTGTCATAGTCTATAGACATGAAACAACGATTCGACGATGAACTGTGCAAAATTCGAGTTAATGCTGCAAAAAACAGTATTTTCTTAACCGAAACTACTTACCAGAAGTTAATAAATGATGTACAAAAAGCCAAAATGACTACTAAGAAGGAACCCAGGGACTATTGGTTGCTGAATCGCTATGATGTGATGATTGTAGAAAACAAAAGTAAACTCATTTATCCTGTTAAAGAAGGCGTCAGTACTATACAGTATTACGTCACAGACTCAGAGTTATTTCACGTACTTCATGAAGCTCATTTGGCTATTGGACACGGAGGACGTGATAGAATGTTGAAAGAACTTTCAATCAAATACAAAAACGTTACACGTCATGATATTGAACTGTACATCCACCTTTGTGAACCTTGCCAGAAAAAACAGAAAGGTATTAAAAAGGGCATTGTTGTGAAACCTATGATTTTTTCCGAATTTAATTCCCGTTGTCAAGTAGATCTTATTGACTTTCAGTCTCAGCCAGATAGAGAATACAAATTTATTATGGTGTACCAAGATCATCTCACAAAATTTGTGATTCTTAAGTCTCTAACGTCGAAAAGAGCTGAAGAAGTAGCCTACAACCTAGTGGACATATTCTTGTTGCTTGGAGCGCCATCTATATTACAGTCTGACAATGGTAGGGAATTTGCCAATAATGTGGTGACCAGCTTGAAGGAGTTTTGGCCAGCACTGAAGATCGTCCACGGGAAGCCTCGCCATTCACAAAGCCAGGGTAGTGTCGAAAGAGCTAATCAAGATATCGAAAATATGCTCTGTACTTGGATGCAGGACAACAAATCTGACCGCTGGAGTGACGGACTACGTTTCGTTCAATTTATGAAAAATAGAGCTCATCATTCTGGGATCAAAAGAACATACGAAGCTCTTTTTGGCTGCAAACCTAAAGTAGGGCTTTCTTTTCTACCAGAATTAAAAGACATAAATATAGAGGAGCAGCTAGAAAAAGTAATAGAAAGCGTCAAAACAATGGAAAAAGGTGAAACTAATCAGATTACGCAAGATGAGATTATAGTCGTTAGTGGAGTAAACCAACACGATGAAGACATGCTTACTGAAGAGATTTCTGTTTCTGATACCTGTTGTGTGTGTTTAAAGGAAACGAGTGATGCACTTGCATGCAAAAAATGTCGTCAAAAAATTCATACCTTCTGTGGCCATGCTAGTAAAGATGATGAAATGGATATTTTGTGCACTCTTTGTTTCAAAACTGAAAATGCTATTGAAGGTAAAATAAATTCTAAAATCGATCTGGAAATACAAGCCAAAAAAATGAAAATAAATTCGGAAAAAAAATTTCCCACTGCTTCTTTGGGAACTACTGTGCGAGTTCCTATTCCTGACGTCGACAAGGGGCAAGGTGATTCGCGCAATATATTGGCAATTGTAATGAGTGTGACAGAGGATGGTTTCTACCGACTTGGAACTTCTGAAGGAATTTTAAAACAAGTATATGCGAGATCACAATTCACTCCATGCCCAAAGAACTTGCTTAGAATTGAAGATATTCCTGACCATAAAATTCCTCTCCGGTCAGTTGCAATTGCTCAGTCCAGTGGAAGCGGCCAAGGATTCGTCAAATGTATGTGTAAAACAAAGTGCCAAAATATGAAATGTCTTTGCGTGAAAAATGTAATGAAATGTAATTCAAAATGTCATTCAAGCCTACCATGTTGCAACAAGTAGGTTAATTGTAATTTTTTATATGAAAATTTTGTTTCCCTTAATAAGAAAGGCATAAATTTTGTTTTGTACAACTTTCATTTTTCTTTACGTATTTTGAATAAATTTTTTTAATGGCACTCTCATTATTTTTTCAGAATAACATTTGTATTTTTGAAGAATGCACGTCATTTATATAATAGCCTTATCAGAACCTTTTTTCATACTTTGCCTAAATAGCATTTGTCATTCTATAGACTGCCTAGGTATTATATACAATGCCTAGGGAAAGCATGTAATAATTCTCATATTTCATAGATTGCCTAAAAACGCCAGGCATTATATACAATGCCTAGGTATTCTATAGAATGCCGGCTTTTCATACTTTGCCAGTAACATATATATATATGATTCTCTCTCTTATTTTGAAACAAGAGTAACTACAATGCCAAATAGGGTTTTTCTCTTATTGTATCAGACACAACATTAGGAAGAAATTCTGTTATTTTGGTTTCATGTAATCTAAAAGTCTAAGGCATTCCTTTGCAGTAACTTTAAGGAATATAATTATTGAATTTTTTCCGTTTATACAACTGTAATTATTTTCAGTCATTCTGATGAGAATATTAACTTTTTTAGTGATGTATCATTAATACAATATCTGTCTAGGATTTGATAAATAATTATTATAGATATGAAGTTGTTTCATTCCAGTAAATGAAAATAGTAATGATATATTCTTTTGAATAAAATTTGAATTCTAAAATATGAAAAGAATTGCTAACAAGTGACTTTTTAGAGATAATTTTGCTGCCAAAAAATATTTGGATATATTCTTTGGCTTAAGAAAAATTGATCTATTAAAATATATTAAACAGCTGTAAACTTTTAGTTACCATAATTGATACTTCCTTTACTCCACTGATTTTTAATTTTATTATTAAATTTTAATTGAATTTAAGTATCAAAGTTTTAGATGTCCAAAGAACTAAACCATCAATCTAACCTCAACTTTCTATATAATATTTTGTTACAACTTAACAAGTATGTAAATTGAGAAATTCAATTTACTCATCAAAGTATTAGTATGTATTGACATAGGAACATTTATGTACATTTTTGTAATGATATATAAGCTAAATTAAGATACATGAATTGATAATATTATCTATATAAATAATATGATTTTTAAAGCTACAGAGAATTTAATGACATATCCTACCTAAAAGAATTCAGATTATATGTACTCAGTTGATGGTTATTGGCCAAACACCGAATGAATTTATCATTGAAAATATTTTACAAGTTTAACAGCTGTTTAATAATTCATTTGAACTCAACTTCTAATTAAAAATTTCATGTTTATCATGTTTCATTGGTCATAAAACTCATATATAGAAGTAAAAAACAAACTATTTGAAGGTATTATAAGTAAATGTTAAAGTGTTTTAAAATATTAAATAAAGTTCTTTCTAATTATTTCTACTTAATAATAAACGTTAATAAATTTTTATGATAATATAGGGTTTGAAGAGTCATGCAGTAACAATGTTTGAAGTAGGAAAATTATCAGATGAATCTTTGGATAGTTTTCTTATTGAATTAGAAAAGGTAAGAGTTTTGTTGGAATTCTTAATTAGAAATCTAAGATATTAATTTGTACAGTTCATTACACAGAATGACAAATTAATTCATTTTAATAACTTTGCAGTATAATTGTTTTATAGAGGGTTCTGAAATCACACATATCAAATGTGTGATTTTAAAATGATGCAATTGAAAAATCAATCTACAATGTTCAAAATACATTTTTGATTGGCTGCATTCAACAGACTCAATTGTTCTGAACAGTTGAGTATTTTTCTGCCAAACAGTGTCTATAGTAACATTACTGCCAAATGTGTTGAGTGTTTTGACATCACAGTTATTACTGGAATTCATTTATGATGCCTTTGGTACCAATAACTGATCAAAGATGGCTGTGCCCTGTTAGCAAGTGAAGTTATTTAAATCCACACCATCCCACGTTTTGGATTTTTAAGTTGTGCAAACACTAAACTGTTTTTTTACATACAGTGATCTCAATACTTTGACATTAAGATGGTTACATTTTTCAGGAGAGTATCCCATCCTGTTTATTGCAGTAACAACACTTAGTAACTCCTTATTTACTAATTGCAGTAAAGAGGAATACAAGTACGCATGCAATATTAAGGTCAGCTATGGCTGTGTTTATCTTCCCTGCTATATAAATGTTAGTTTGTTAGGTGTTCTGTGAATGCTTACATCTAAAAATGAAATTGTGCCACCCTTTTCATCTTCTGTAGTGAAGTTTATAGAGAGATAATAGTTGCACAAATTTTAAAAAATTCAACTTTGATTCAAGTTTTTTGGTAAATAAAACTGAAAAATTAATGCCAAGAGAAAGTTGTGTTTCTCATTGTAATGACATTTCAGTTTTATAAACTAAAACTTTTAAACTTAATTTAGTTTTTGTTCAACGCTTCTAAGTTTAAAAATTCTCATTTTGTCTGTTTGACTCAGCTTTTTAAAAATTCATAAGCAAGAGAAAGATAAAATCTTTTGGAAAACCAAAAGGGTATTAATTGTTAAAAGGTTCTCAAAAACATACATCATTTAACACAGATAAATTAATATTATGTAGTGTGATAGTAAGACTTTTTTCTAGCATGCCAGTCAGATCTCACCTTTATTTATTTTTTTAAGTGGAATGGTAAAATCTGTATATAATTTTTGCATTTTTAATCTAAGCAATATGCAACATCTTATATAATTTTTGTTTTGTAAAGAATTTGTAAAGAACTTTTGAGAACAAACTTATGTTTATTTGATATCTTTTTAGTTGTTACGTGAGATGATTTTGGTACAAACAATTAAAAAGGTTGCCCACCTCCTGATCTATGGTATATTATTTTTAATTGACAGGTTGCTGATGTTGGAGAAGGAGAAGCTAGACGATATTTTGATCATGCTTTAACATTGAGAAACACTATATTATTTCTTCGTTATAATACAAAAATGGTCATACCGGTACAGAATGGTCCAGAAGGCAGTGGAGAAGGATCAGTCAGTGGATTGGGGTTAGACCTTATTCGTTGTGAAAGTTTACAAAATCTGGATCAAGACACTTGTAGCAGATTACTTAACAAGAATTATTGGTAAGTTTTATTGAGTGATTCAGTTAAATTTAATTGATACTTTCAGAAATAATTTCTCATAATTATTTAGTTTGCTGATATCAATGGCACCTTTGACTAACGAAATTCGACCAATTACTAGTTCTCATCCTCCTCATCTGGGTCCTGCAATTCCTGAAGTAATATAAAAACAATTAATGTAAATTTTATTTTTAGATTTACATATAATTAAATTTAATAAATCTTATTTATTTTAGGTAAATTCAGTATGGTTTAAATTATATATGTATTCCGTAACTCAGTGTGGACCTCCGTCATTATTATTAGTTAAAGGAACAAAACTTCGGGTATTACCAAGAATGTTTAGGGTAAGAATTCTTATAAACTTTTGATTCTGAATTACCTTACAGTATAAAATTATAATAGTGCTCATCTACCAAATAATGATGAATATTTGATTAAAACAAATATTTTTGCATCAATCATCACAAATTTTTATAAGTGAAATCAAAATTATACATGACACACATCAAAAAACTTAACGATTTTTGAAAGTAATTATCTAATTAAAAAAATAACAACAGTCTAATAATTTCTAGGACCACGAAAAATTATTAGTCACAACTTGGGGTCATGATCCAGGTACAATGCCAGTTTCAAATGCTCTACCAACATTAAATGATGCCCTATGTCATTCTGCTCTCCTAATCCAGGTACAGTCATTAACATATTAATCAATATTATGTAATAATTAAAATATAGCCTACTTAACAATCAGATTTAAAGCAATTTGTCTGGAGATACAGTAGGTTAACATCTCTTCATAAATTTAACAATTTAGAAGTCAGTTTCTAAATTATCAGGAGATAGTGGTTAAATCAGTTAACTGTAGACAAATTGCTCTGATTCTGGTAAAATAGCCTTAAAGTATAGCCTGATAACATTGCTAAATGATCTGCCAGATTTTAAAATATTGGGTTGGTATAATTTATATATATGTAAAAGTCAAATGTACAGTGGTACCTCGGTATACGATTTAATTCAATTATATGCACCATCTATGAACAAGTAGAACTATCGGTGTATTAAATCAGACTAGACTAGACTAGACGCTCATGGTGCCACAGTTTGTAACTTTGTTAAATTTCTTCTGATTTTAATTTGTAAGTAAAATTTTATTATTTTTATTAATCATGAATTGCAAAAAGGCAACAGAAAAATAAAAAAATGGCTAGAATCACAATGGAACTGAAAAAAGAGATTGTTGAGATTTAACTGTTGCACACTGTATTCTGAGAACGATGATATCGACAATCGTGAAAAATAAAGACATTATTAAATTTGATTTAACCCCTTTCACAACATTGACAATTTCTAAAATGAGATCGAAGACATTAGATCACGTTGAGAAATTGCTTTGGATAACTGAAAAACAGTGTGCTGATGACAGCGTATCTGAAGCAATTATTTGCGAGAAAGCTAAAAAGATCCTGCTTGATTTTTCATGAGATCAGCATGTAACTAGCCAGGAAAGTGAGGTGTTTAAAACCAGCCATTTTTTTTTTCATGAGAATGGATTAATCATTTTTACATTACTTCTTATGGGAAAGGTTGGTTTGGTTTAAGTCCAAACACCAGGAACGGATTAAAGTCGTATACCGAGGTTCCAGTGTATATTATTGTAATGTTTAAAAATTGCGACATCATTATTTAATTTAAAATATCATGTGACTTTGCTCCAGACCAGAAGTTTGTATTTAGTTAATTGGGGCCTCATCCTTTAAAATCAAGACCAGATATGGAAAGATTAATGAAGGACAGATGGACAACAGTGGGAATGTATAGGTTTGCAATTTGAAAATTGCAGACCAATATTTTAATACTGATGAGGTACATCATATTTCTAATGCATCTTCTAGTAGTATGATTTAAACAATTGAAGCTAAAGTATGCTACAAAGTGTGACAGAAAAGTAATGAGACTAATTATTTTTTGCAACAATTTTATTTTTGTTGTTCCCTCGGGCAACTATACATATCTAGTTGAAGTCTTCTAGCAGTGCTGGAAGACTTCAACTACAAATGCCTGCAGCATCTTGGTACTGCTGATAATGTCCTTTCGAATTGATTTTGATCTTGGGGAACAAAAACAAGTCACATGGACTGATATCAGACAAATAGGGGGCCTGGGGAACCACAGAAATTTCTTTTTCTGTCAAAAACTGGTTGATGGACTGGTGATAGGAGTTGTCATGGTGGAGCATCCAGATGTCTGCAATGTTCAGTCTGACTCAAGCACAAGTTTTTCAGAGGGCCTAGAAGCAGTAGAAGATATTCCACACACCTCTGAGTGAGGTTCGAGTGAGGGCTAAGCACGTTGCAACTTTTTGTAGGTCAAACTCGTGGGTTCACCAAGCTTAACACAAAATTTGATAGCATATTGTGGCTCCAAATTTTGTTATTCCATTTTCCATAATGCAGTTACTGCACGAGATTGAAACTGGTATGTCAGTCCCTGCAATGATGCCAATCTCATTACTTTTCTGCCACACCTTGTATATGAAATTATAGAATAAAAAGAAAATTAATAAAGACAGCTCAGCTTGGTTATCCAAACTATATAAACTTAGAAATAATTTAACCAACATATATTGTAATATGTAGGATTAGAAATTAAGAATATCTGTTGTTTTTCCAGCAAATAACAATGTATAGCTTTCTAGTTGTTCAAATTATAATATACATGTATGTATCCTACAATTTGAACAACTAGAAAGCTATACATTATTTGCTGGAAAAATAACAGATATTCTTAATTTCTAATCCTACATATTATTGTTGAATTGCCTGATAGTTTATAATATACATGTATGTATCCTACAAACTATCAGGCAATTCAACAATTACTGCACACTACATGGCCATTTATTAGGTGTAAACACAAAAAGAAATCTCAAACATCCTGGCAGGATGACAACCTAGAAAATACAGTATAAATTCTTATTTATTTGACAAATTTTAGCATGTGATTGAATATATAAATGGCTGATTAATGAGTGCTAACCATTAAAGTGAAACTTATTTGTGTAAACTGCAGAAATACCATGACTTCATAAATGTCTATTATTTTATATTTTCTCATCTCGTTCCATGGCAGCCATATTAGATTTGTCAAAGTTTGACATCCCAAATGGACTTTTGGTTGTTTTGTTATGGTTTTGCATATTTTATCCTGTTAAATAGTAATAAAGTATGGAAAAGTTAGGGGAAAAAAACAAGAAAATAAATCAGGTTGCCCATCCGGACGAGTTTGGATGGGATAACTCCACTTACTATAAAATGAAGTAACGTTTCAAAATTTACTTCCATTTTCAGGGTCAAGGAACTGGCGGAGAATTTATTTATATTCCATTTCCATTTGATAAAAATTATAACACTAGTTCAGGTATGTATATTTATTATTATTTTGGTAATCACTAAAAAGGGGTTTATAGATAAATAATTAGCAGAACATAACAAATATCAGAATGGTAGTTTATTCTTTCCTGTTGGCACTAAGAGAACTTTTTCAGATCAATTAAATTAAATATAATTTATGGTAATACATAATAGAACTCTTAGATATATCATCATTCTTTCATTTTAATTAAAGAATGATGATATATCTAAACTGAAAGAATTTTAAGTTTTCTTTTGATTAATCATTTACTTCCATGAAAATATGTAGGATTAGAAATACAAAATTATCTTGATCACAGGCTTTGAATTTTTTCATTTTCTACACAAATTATATATATATACACTGATAAACATTGATCCATATTTCAAAGTTTCTCAATTAAAAGACTTAAATATATGTTAGGATCAGTATCAAATTTTAATGATGATTCCAATATTTTATTTATATCGTGCTCTGATTAGAAAATTTTTATAGTTATACTCAGTTTAAAATTAAAATAAGTGTACACTTCATACATATAATATAATACAGTGGATTCCACTTTAATTGGGCCAAAATGGATTAGTCCCAGTTAACAAACTAATAATAATTAGGTACCTGATTCACATAATGCTAGTGTTGACTGTTCTAAAGGGAGAAAAAGGGTTTGGGCACAGTTTCCTTTACTTGGAGATGGGCCAGCTCGATACTGGTCTAAATCTAGACATAATTATGCACACAATACCTTCCAAGGGAACTCAGTTGAGAGACCTGAAAAAATCATCTGGCAACCTTTGTTCCAATCCAGAGCAGGGTCAGTAATTCGTCAGCCTCAGTTGAAATTCCTGTGCGATACAGCCCGCTATGCTGACCCTCTCTGGAAAAACCGAACTGCCCAAGCAAGACAAAATCACTTTGTCTCTGCCAGTCGTTAGGCGTACACGACATTAGTGTATGTAGTACCTACATATTTTCGGAAGATTACTAAAATATATCAAAACTTGCTAAATTCCTTCTCTGTTACTGTCCCAATTAAGCAATTAAATTATGTATTAATTTATTAGTTTGGTTTCCTTTCTTTGAGATTTGGCCCCGATTAAGCGGAATCCACTGTATTAAGTTTTACTTTGCACAAATGAATTAATTAATAATTTGATTGTTTGCAGATCATTAATAATAATTAATCAGATATATTTGTTTTTATTATTATGTCTAAACTATTTTTAAATGAATAAAAGACTTATCAGTCTAGAAAGCTCATTATTTCTTTACTTTCTTTTCCCTGACAGCTTTGTCTATCTCAGTGTTCTCCCCAGGCCCTTTTGGCTGGATGCTCCACCCAGCTAGTTAATTTGGCAATATGACATATCAAAATAATGATTCTTATAAATTGTAAAAAATGCAGAAACAAAAATTTGAATTGTGTGTCTAAAGCATAAAAATATTTTTTTCATTCAATTTTTTGGTTTTTTTTTCTTCTGTTGACAGGGATCTACAGAAGTAACTTATGACAGCTAAAACTGACTTTGAGTCTAATGATTGCATTCATTAATGACAATATACCAGTTATACTGTCTAATTCACTTTGAAAAACCAAATGCAGAACTGAAATTTGGCAGAGCTGCTTGACCAGATTCTAGCTTTAAAGTAAAGTGAATTACTAATTAAATTTTATTTATTTCTTGTGAAGTTTCTAATACCAAAAATCATACCAAGGGAGTGTTTTTGAAAATTATTGGGTACCTACATTTCTGTGAATTTTTGTTTTAATTAAAATATTAATTGTTGGTTTGAAGTTCAATATACCTAACCCCTATTGCTGTATTGTATTGCAGTACAGTACATATCAATCCTAATCTAAACTTATGCATAACATTTTGAATTGTACTCAAATATTATTGTTATTTTTACGTTCAACCTACAATAGAATTTAGTCATACTGCCATCTGTCTTGGAATTTTAAAGTGTGTATCGAGTTTAATTATTATACTTATTAAATTTATCAAGAAATGGTGCCTAACTCTAATGCCAAATTGTCTATTAAATTATTAGTATTATAGCCGTTTCTAGCCCGATAATACTCGGCTTTGGTTAATGTATATGCATATAGATAGATTGCCTATGAGTATGAAAAAAGCAATTTGTATGAGGATAGTAGTATAAAATAGAAAATGTAGACCTTACAATGTGTGTTACCATTACATCAAGATGGGGGAGAATTGAACAATAGGAAAGACAGTTTAAGAGGATGATTGGAAATGGAGGTGGAATGCCAAAATCTTATGTTCCATTTTCTTTTTATGTAACACCAAAACGAGAAGATATTATGCATTTTATGGACCCAAAATGTAGGAAATACAAAAAAACAGATGAAGCCCTGCTAAATGCAATTGAAATGGATGCATTGACAAGATTACACAGATTACTTTTTTCATTTGTATCCACACAAAGTATTTAATATTGATGAAATAAAAAATAACTATACTATATCTTTTATATTTGTCACTTCATTGTGCATAAATAATAAATTTCCAGGGATAGCCACAGAACAAAACCATAAAAATGAGAGGAAGGCTGATAAAGACCTTAAAAGAAAATATACCAAAAAGTAATGGAGGGTAGAGACATTAAGGAAGAAATATCTGAGGATCAAAGGGATCAGATTCTAGAAACTGATTATATAATGTATGTGTTTGTGCAAAATTATATCATCTTTCTCGTCCACTTGGCTATTTCTTCATTCCATCCAGCTAGTAAAAATTTCTGGGGAGAACACTATCACATCCATCCATCTATCTGCCTTTTCCTTTCTTCCTTTTTTACTCATTTCCCACCATTTTCATTTTTTCCTTCTCATTAAACAAAATGAAGCAAACTTGATAATATGATTGAGTGACCTGTATCTTCTTAACCAATTCTGTCAATTATACTGTTTCTTTTATATGTTCAATCCTAATCTAGTCCATCCCATTACTCTATACACACACATCATTTTTGCAATTCTTATCTTGTTGATCTTCTTTTCAGGAATGAGGTTTTTGTGTGATACTTGATTGCCAGTCTTGTCTCAGTTTTGTATACATTACTTTTTCAGTTTTACTGGCATCCTCTTGTCATATAAAACTCCAGAAATTTTTCCAGTTCTTCCATCCAGCTTGGATTCAACTAGTAACTTCCCTTTTCAACTTCTTCCTCCATGATTGAGCCAAGGTATCCAGAAATGATTAACTCTCTTGATAATTTTGCCAATTTAAACCTAACCATACATATAGCACTCTTCCTTCCATTTTGGTTTTATTAACTTTAGACTTCTCTATTCTAATGCATTAATCAATTTAGCTAATTTTGACTCGGACCTTTCTCTCCTTGATGCTGCACACAACTGTTTTCATACATGACTTGTTCCATGGTTCTTTTAAGCTATGTGACTATAATTAAGTCAGAATGAATCAAATTTTAAGATCTTACAAAGACAGCTTTTTAATTAAATTAAAATTTCTATTTTTATAGGCGAATTTTCTTTGTATAATTTTGAATATCACAGAGCCGTTAGAACACTAGCCAAGCATTTGGATCTAATTCATTGCTGTGGTTACATAACTATGCTTCGACTGGTTCAAAATAAAGAAGTGAATAATGTTCAGAATGCGACGTCCGAGGATATTTTGCCAAACTCCGAAGACGAAGGAGCACAGCAGGTTACAAATCTTCCCATAAATGGAATTGCTAATGACGACTCTAAACAACTTCTTGCTGCCGAAGTGGATAGTTTTCAAGAAAATGCTTTGGTAGAGACTCCTAAACAAGTATTTAAATCAAAAACTGGCAATTTGACATTAGATTTAGACGAGCAACCTGAAATATTAGATATTTCTGCAGAAAAAGACAGTATTTCCGAAGACGATTGGACAATTTTAAATTGTTGTTTTGGAATTCCTCTTTTCGACAGCAGAGTTAACACCGAAGTTTGTAAGCGTATCATAAATCAAGGACTTTGTAAACCAGAAAGGTAAAGTTTTTTAAAAGTGATTTTTAAAAATAAAAATCAAATATTTGTAGTCTAAGCAAGCCATATTGAAGATTTACGTAAAATTATTTACTCAACCAGAGTATTTTTCTATTATAATAGACACTGCAATATCAAGACCAAAATTACTTGATAACATAAGTTAATTATTCATAAACAGATGACAAAGAGTTATCAAACTTTAGAATAGAAAGTTTTACTGTATGTAGCAAAACTGAAGCCAATCTTTATGATCAGATCAGATTTTAATAGATTAAAGAACTGTAAAAAAAAATATCAATCTAATTCAGATTTACATATTTTAAGTTAGTGACATTAAGTAAGTACTTTATCACACAAGAATCTAATTGTTCAATCAATAATATATTTAATTTTTTCTAAGCAAATGCTGACTTTTTCATTGTCTTTCTTCTCCGTGGTATTGTCACAGAGAAGGAAGATTCTAGTAATTGCTGCTATATAATAAATTAAAAAGGTCGAGCGATATTTATTAATAAAGCATCTATATTTTTTTCAGTCTTACTAAGTCAACAGCATCTAGTCAAGAACTGTGCCTTAATTTATTGAAATTTATTAAAGATAATCAGGTAAAATTATAATTATATTCACTTTCCAACATGGAATAATTTTGTTTAATTATAATTTTTCACTGGTTTTTTTTAGAAAACTATAATTCCGTGTGATAAAAACAACATCAGCATTCCTGGCTGTGATATGGAACTCCCGCTTCCGACGGAAAATTTAATGTTCGTAGACGGAAAATTATCTCCTTGGGACTGGAGATAATGCCGCTATAGAAGTACAAATTAGAAAGTTAAGCACATTATAAACAATCACCAATATATCTTTAAGACAAAGATTTTAATTAAATTCTACAATGTAGCCGACGGCACCAAACTAACTTGTAAGAAGGTGGTCAATGGCTATACAATACGAAATACGAGGCAACTATTGTTAGCAAACTAATTTTGGTGCTTAAAAAGTTGTTTTGTTCATAAAATTTAAATCAAATTCTAAAGGCAAATTATATTTGTTGTTGTTTAACTCCTTAACTTTCTAAATATATGAGAAGCTACAAATTCCTATGTAAATAATTGCACCAAAAAATATTTTAATTAAGCGTGAAGTAAAACAAATATGCTGATTATATGCACAAGCATTTATTAATCACATTGAATTATTTTTCGTGGCAGATTCAGAGGAAATGATTTATTAAAAAAGTAGATTGCTTTTTTCCAGAACAATTTCTTTGCATATATTTATGTTTGAAATCATTTATGATATTTTTATAAATTTAAAACTGGTGCTATTTAAAGAAATATAATATGTTGATGAGAGATGTGCATTGGAGAAAAAAAATCCAAAAACTGAAATTAATAAGCCGCTCGTTGCAGATATAGCTCTTAAATGAAAATTATACTGGCATATTAATTTTAAGCAATATAATTTTTTCAATCTTATATTTAGATTACTTTTCAACATCACATTTTTGAAATTAAGTAAATGGAGAGAAATTTATCGATAGTCGAAAACCTGGTAATAAAACCGAACAAATACTCCGAAGGCACAAAGTAACGTAGGGAATTTTAGGCAAAGACGGACAAAAATATAGAAATTGAATATAATTTCTTTTTTCATTTTCTTTGATTATTTATAGTTACAAGTATTTGACAGATCTAATCTAGAAATGCAGTTGAGAAACAACAAAGTAACAAAATTATAAAACTAAAGACAAATGCACTGATTAAAGGCATTGCACTTGATAAAGAAACATTCCTGTAATGTATCAGTTTTTGAGACATTATTTATATTATCTGCATAAACAGAGAGAGAGAGAGAAAAAGAAATAGAAATAGAATTGATGAACATTTAGCAATTGAGCTATTTCTAAGTCTCTCTTAAAATCTAATTAGAATTTTAATGGGGAATATTTACTTTTATTTCAGATTTATAATTGTTAACATTTATGGTATTGTTGGTAATCAAAATTTGACAATTATTGCCGTCGTCTCTCGGTATAAAACAACTGTTTTTAATCGACTCATTCCATACTGGTTTCTTAATGTCGATACCGACACTCAGTGATTTATCTTTTCGAAAAGGTCGTTTTGCACTCCAGGTTTAGAATTACTGATTTTAAAACAGTTGCACCTCATTATTGAACGAGACATTACAAATATAAACAGTATAATGCAATAATTTTAATACATTTTTAAAATTTAATTCTTTCTCAGTAAACAAAGTGTTTATTAAGTTAATATAATTAATTAAAATTGATTAGAAGAGGATTGAAACAATCTAAAGTGTAACAATCTATTTTTTAAGTAACACTGATGTAATGTATCATGTAACACATGTTTTTATTATAAATTTTTGTTGTATATTTTGGTTGATAAAACTCGAAATCAATTAATGTTTGGGTAACGTTTAACGCTAAGTCTGGCACACTACATACCTCTCTTCTGTATGGTATAAATGTTACTGTACATACAGAGAAATATGTTGTTAATTTAACCCTGTACATAATGTAAACATACAATGTAGATTATTATTGTTCATATTAAAAGAAAAAATGAGAACTGCATCTTCCAATACAATCAAATGTAAAATTTGTTCTGTATACATATATAATTAATATAAATTTACTTTTCTATTATTATAGTAAAATTATGTCCTGTATAGAGATATATCATTCATATTTTATTTGATGATGATTGAATTTTTCAAGATAAATAAAAATATTATGTAAAAATTATGTTCGTTCCTGGAAACGAATTGTTTCACTTATTTTTCACATTTTTCTTCATTACAGAAACATTCTACATGGGGCCCCACGAAGCTATAGCACACCATTGCCTAATGGATTGGCCAGCCAAAGTCCAGATATTAATCCTAATGAAAGTGCTTAGGGCTATAATTTTGTATGTATTGATATTTAGAGATAAGGAAATGAAAATTTTACGTACCGTGTACTGTTGTAAAATAATTAGCTGAATGAATTTCTTCAAAATTTATTTATGAGATATATCGGACAATGGGCGTTAAACGTACATCGAAAATGTCTTGGATACTAAAAAATCCAGCAACGAGTTGCTTAACTTTCCCGGCAACCTTTAAAATTTTGGTGGCACCATCAGTTACATTAAGTCCGACCCTACTCGAGATACGACACGCGAATCCACTTTATCTGCCCACCCCTCGACCTTTAACCATCAAAACTTAATAGCATCAATCCCCCTAATACGCAAACCTCCCTACAAAATTTCAGAAGTTTTCGACTAAAAGCACGGGCGTTATTAAGCTTCAAAGAGGGTGAAAAAAAAATTGTGGTTCAACAGGTACAAGGCAGTGACGTAAACATTACGTTTGTCTATGCAACACCTGAAACTGAAACTGAAACGAATCATGCTGCTATCATAAAGATCGAAACCATAGCATTACATAAGGGTCCCAACTCTCCTTGTAACGCATTGTAAAGAGTATACATAAATTATTTACGAGTATTGATATTGTATATCAAGACATGGCAACAGCTATTCGTATGACCACATTCATTTTAGGCTCTATCGCGTTATGACTCGGTGGGACCCGGGTGAATTTGTATTAGGGGGCCCCCACCTATAGTGTTGACTTCAGACATATTTCTCCGCGGGGGAATGTTTTGGGGACACGGGCTCAATGGCACGGGGCCCACTAGACATTTCTAGTTTCTCAGAATCTCTGCAAATTGGGGAAAATTAGGATATATGACGCTTATTACATCTAGAAGCACAACAAACAAAATTTGTGTTATTTAATAGTGTTGTAACGAATAGGATATTCGGCCTCAGGCCGAATAGCCGAATATTCGGCTCGATTAACGCACGTATGAAAATTGGCGCGCAAACCGCATTATGGCAAGGATCCTGCTCTCTATTGGCCCGCTGTCACTACGCTTCGCCAATCGCGTTAATTCTTGACAGTTGTAGCGGACAGACAAGAGCGTCATGGCAGTATGTGATAAATGATGATATCAAATGTGAATAACAATGAAATGACCTACACGTGTAAATAACGGAAAAAGAACAGAGAAGGACCGCGAAGTGAAAATGTGAAAATAAATATGAAATTGAGTTGATAACATAATCGAACAAGTCGAAGCAGCTTATTGGCACGAAATTCGCGGCCGTCAATGCCAAACAATTGTTGTCATAGACTTCGGAAAGCTAAATGCTTGTAATGAAAGTCACTTAGCGTGCACGGGCGAAAGCCTGGGGCCGTTCGGGCTATCAAGCTGTCTCGAATCTGTGAAATCATAACTGTGACTTATATCGACGTCCTATCTGTCTCTTTTCTCCGTTATCACCAGGCTGAGTCACGTAATTGTAAAATGGGAACTCTACGACGGAAAAGTGACGAATCGAAAGTATCGTGAGCGCGTATTATGATGTATGCACAGGCATACATGGATTAGAGCGATAGAGGAAAGAGAAAGGGAAGAGCAAAGACGAGCGCTTAAAAAGAAGGATAGGCAGGGTCAGACCCTCAGATGTGCGAGGATTCTCCAACGATAGACGTGTACGTGTGCTGATCTTTGTAATTATAAATTGTGAATACATGTGACTATTATTATTTTCTGTTTTATTTTGCGCATGTTACAAGTTATAAATAAATAAATATAAACAAACGACACTAACTCGATAACATTAAATCTAAATAACAAAATGATTAATTTACTGTGTTTTTGTTATTTATTACTCCTGTTTTTAGGTATTCGGTATTCGGCCGAATAGTGAAAAATAGGCCGAATACCGAATAGTAACCGAATATTCGTTACATCACTATTATTTAATAATTAAAGAATTACAGATTTAATTATCAACAGCGTTTAACTACACACAGAATAAATTCGTTTTCTTCGCTCTACTATTGCATTATAGTAATTAACTTAATGTAACTTTATTTTTTATCTTAAACAGTAGATGTAGAACAAAATATGTCTTTACGAAAAATGAAAGTCACGTTAATTAAAAATTTTTCCAGAAATTTCCCCGTTTCCCTATAAAACAGGTAACCTAAACTAGTTTTGTTTCACGAAATAACCGCTAAACGGTGTCTCGGTAGACGTAACTATAAATAAACATTCCAAATTTTTCGAGCGTAACACGAGCAAGACTTCGGACTCGTGTTACGTAGGTCCAGGCTAGTATATCCCGTATTTATATCGGAGCAGCGATAACGTTATATAAATATTTTAAATATAACTTTCCGAGTTTAAATTTTTCAGTCGGATTCCATTCTGAATCGGCATGGACAAAGCCTCGGTTAAGGACATTACGGACGTAATTGGGCAGTTCGGGCACTGGCAGAGGACCATATTTATCGTGGTGTTTTGTTTGGGCCTCCCCGCCGCTTGGAACCATTTGATAATCGCATTTTACGCACCCAACGTGGCACACTGGTGCATTCCTTCCGAAATTTCCAGCAATTTCAGCCAGCAATCGTGGGGAAACGTCACGTGGAGGAGGAGGGAAGGTTGGCAAGAGTGTCGACCCCCCGAAAATCTGTCTTCAGAAAAGTGCGATAAATGGATGTACGATCATTCCTTCTATTCTGCCACTATCATCGAGGAGGCGAGTCAAGTTTTGTTTTATTTTATTATTTTCATTTACGTTGTAAGGTGTCCTGTCCTGTCCTATAAACATTAACTGTAAAGGGGTCGTCGTATACATAAAAAGCGCTTAAACAAACACGAACCATTTAACAAAAAATAGCTACTACACTTTTTTTCTATTAAGGTGAAAGGTTAACTTACATATAGATATAAATATAAGGAAATTACTGTATGATAATTGGTAAATTTTAATATTTTTATCAAATTCTGTTATACATATTGTCACGAATTTAAATAATAATAATAATAATAATAATACTTTCTTGTTAATTAATTGTTACTTGTTCTGATAAATTTTGCTGCAGAGAACACACCAGTAATTACTACTGCTTGATTATTTCCCTAAACAAGTGTTCTTGCGTGAGGTGTTTTCCCTATACCAAAATTTATGCTTAGAACTAAAGAATGTATATTACTTTGCATACTGACGGAAGATATTAAGTCATTTCTAAGAATTGTTTTTCTTTTTATTATCTAAGAATGAATTCTTTGATAATAATAAATTCTTCTCGTGTAAATCTTATCGTTTGTAAACATTATAGCAACTATTTAGAGTTTCCAACTGCAGAATTAATCAAATTAACGTTTTAATATTAAAATAATGGTATTTTCGTGTGTGAAATCCATAGAAAATTGCTAGAACAATGATAAAACCTTGCTTAGTTAATCTCTACAGTGGTTAACTGGCTTTTGGACCACCCCGAAAAGAGTAAACTTGTTAACCTTCAATAAAAGGTGAAGGTAACCCATTTTGTTCCGGTTTAGCTGTGTTCTGTGCTACAGACGTTAAGAGTCCAAGCCCATAACGGAGTAACGTAATGGGCACCACAATGACGCAATCGTGTGACAGTGTGGCGAATTTAAAAACTCCACCCTCGGAAAGAGGGAGAGTTTAATGGGTTTTTTCCATTTTTGGAGGTTATAATCGGCCTTAAATTTAAAACACAATTCTTGTGTTTATAAGTATTGTTTTTTTTTTTTGTGTTTTTAGTGGGATTTAGTATGCGACCGATCGTTTTTGGTATCCTTAAGTCAGACGATATACATGGCCGGATATATCGCGGGAGCCGTGGTTTTATCGCAGTTATCGGATAGGTAGGTCGTGCTTAAAGCGCCCAAACATTCCCAACGACGAGTGAATCTAACAAATAAAGTATATTTACAGATATGGCCGCCGCCCCGTGATGCTTTCGTCTGTATTTATTCTGTTTGTGTCCGGAATCGTCTGCGCCTTTTCTCCAAATTTTACGATTTTTGCCATCACACGATTTCTGATCGCCCTGGGAAGATGCGGTCTCTACATAACGGCGTTTGTATTATGTAAGTGCCTAATTGTTTCCATAATTAATTACGGACCGTGCACGCTACACCCCCTTTTCAACATTACGAATGCGCGAAATGCCCGCGTGCCCACCAGTGGCAGAGTAGATAAAAACTACTTAACGTTGGTGGGCCTGGCCACGTGGAGATTCCCGGGATTACTCTGCATTTATAACACCATTTTCATCTTAGACACGGTCGATCTGGCAAAGGAGACTTTCTACGGAAAACTGACCCTTATTTAGGTGTTACTAACGTAAAAAAACCCGAAAAACTCCACGTGGTCAAACCGTGGACCCACCAGGTTTTATCCGCTTGGCCACTGGTGGGCGATTAAGGTTACGATATATGCTAAATTAAGCATTTAGTTTGAAATAACACATCTTTTCGTAATTAGTAATGGAGACGGTAGGACCAGATTACAGAACAGTTTTGGGAATAGCAAGAGATTTCGGATGGGCCACGGGATACATCATGATTCCGGGAATTGCCTGGTTGATTCGAAACTGGTTCTACATGCAGCTGGCCATAACCATCCCAGTTTTAGGACTGGTTTCTTTATGGTGGTAAGTATTCGTTTAGGTCCCACCAATAGTGGGCCTTAAATCAATCGTTTTTTTAAATATAAACTCATTACCATAGTAAAAATATCGAAATTTAAATGTGGCGCCATATCTGGGGGTCGTAGATTGACGGTGTGGTGCAGACTCAGCGCACAACTTGACCCTTCAGAGATCGCGTGAAAATAAACTAACGAGGATTCCCCAAAATATGTCTGAAGTCAACATTGTACGAGGAGACCCCAAATTCAAATTTACCACTGCAATGCCAATCCAAAAAAACTTTTTAAAAAACTTGATTTAACAATTTAAATTGGCTTAAAAAGTACTGTTTAAATCGCATATTCTGTAATAATGTCTGGACACTACAGCGCTCTTTATACATCTAGTGGCCAAAGTGAGAAATTTTCTTTTTCTTCTCATATTTCACGTCATTTGGACCTACAGAGTGGGCTTAGATCAAGGATAGGCCTAGTTTATGTTAATTTTCCCGTCCAAATGACTTAATATTTTTAATAAAAAGTTAGGATTTAATATTGTTTTTAATTTAACTCGGAAAGGATTTTATCGGAATCTCCAAGATGGTTACTAACTCAAGGGAAATTGGAAGAAGCAGAAACCGTATTAAAGAAGGCGGCATTAATTAATAAACGTAACGTGGACAACATTAAAAGTGATTTAGAAATGCTCCAGGCTTCGCTTCAACAAGTAAGGCATTAAGTATATGGTAAATTCTAAATTTAATTGTAATAAAATACGAAAATTTTTGTATTGAAATAACGCGACTTTCGGTTTTCATGGGAATTTCTTATTGTTAATCGAGGTCTCTTGCCCCTAATCTTTCCATATTTAATCTCGGATTTCAGAATTCTACAGAAAATCGCAAGAAAGCAAACATTTTCGATCTTTTAAAATCGTCAAACTTGAGGAAAAAGACAATCATCATCTGTTTCTGTTGGTAAATTTCAATATAAAAGATTAAACTTGCGTATTGCAATGTAAGACGTCAGTTTTAATTACGTTTAAACTTTTTTTTTTCCAGGTACGTAAATGCGTTCGTATTCTATGGCCTTTCTCTAAATACCAACGAAATCGGAGGGAATCCATTTTTGAGTTTCTTCATATTTGGAGCGGTCGAATTCCCCGCGTACATCGTTAGCATATTTGTTGTTAAATATTATGGGAGGAGGCTGCCTCTTATGTCTACAATGGTACTTGGAGGTCTCGCTTGTATCGCTACTATAGCTGTACCAGAAGGTGAGTTTCTTAACTGTTTGCAATGCGATTTAATTAATTAATCCGCGACCCGTTGGCAGATCTATTATGGTTGAGAATGACACTTTCCATGCTGGGAAAGTTTTGCATCACCTCGTCTTACATCATAGTTTATATCTTTTCGGCCGAGATATTTCCAACTGTGGTACGTAACGTTGGAGTCGGTACCAGTTCCACTTTCGCAAGAATAGGTTCTGCAATTGCGCCATTTGTTAAAGAATTGGTAAGTGTTTAACGTTATAAAAAAGTTATTTTTTTTCTAATCTAATTGCTCTTATTGGATAATAATTTATATTATTTTTTAAAGGGACAAGTCACTCACCTTGGTGTTACTTTCGGGCTTTTTGGCGGTTTGGCCATTGTTAGTGGATTATTAGCGCTTTGTCTTCCCGAAACAAACAAAATCGTCTTACCGGATACGTTAGAACAAGGAGAACAATTTGGAAAGTAAGTCGTAAATTTCAAAATTTGTTGTTCAATAAATTGGACCAGAATCCTCAGTTGATGACAACACTAGGCTGTATGGTCGGCCACGATTACCTCAATTAACGGAGGGTCTGACCCGCAATGGGATCGATCGGCAGGAGCGAGGGACGAAACACAAGATCCGGATTGGAATCCTTCCTCGATTCTCATTTTTCTTTAGACATTCGTAATGGATACAACTGAAATCAACTGCATGATTTGGTGTGATACTGCGATGCAATGTATAGGCGATCTGCCAAGGGGGATTTTCAGTGGTAATCTGGTCCCTATTTGGTGAAGAAAACCCGGAATACCCCAGTGGTTAGCTCGTTGACGAGGCGCGAACCTGCGACCAACCACCAATGTTCAGTGGTTTTATCCACAATTTTTAATCCAACGTGTACAATCCAATTATAACACGAAATATTTAATTATATAGCAGTTATATCAAATATACTCGTACTTCCTATCTCCATTTTAAACAACTTAATTATGTAAGATATTTCATCTCTCTCGTGGCAGCTAGTCACCCTAGTCTACTCGTGTATTTATGTTCATATAGGTCCACAGCCAATAAATTTATTAATGAAATTTTAATTTATTTTCAGGAAAATTCGCAAAATTCCGTCCGAGCACGAGCTTGAAAAATTTTAAGACTTTTAATTCAGCTCAGCGAATTATAAAAGAGCAAATATAGGTAATAATAAAGGCAACACACAATTCATTTTCGACTATCAACTTTCTCTTTAGGTATTTACAAATTGTGGTAAATAGCTGAAAATTCAGTAAAATTATTTGTAATAAACTCCCTGAAAATACTAACGCTACATTTGTATCCTTAAGAAAACAAGGAAATTACCAGAGACAATTTAATATAAATACCAATAAAATTATATTTTAAACTGAAGACCCGATGAAAATTTGAGATTATTTCTAGACTTTTACCTTATCATTATCAATAAGTGAAGATGAAGAATAAAACTGACATGCAAATAGGATTATCATTATTACTTCTAATATCCAGCGAGTTGCTTAACTTTCCCAGCAACAGTTAGTGGTGCCGTCTGTTATCGTATTTTATTAAAAAAAAAACTTAGGTATTAAAGGTAATTTTGAGGGTAGGGATGGGTTTTATGAAAAGTTGTAAATGCTAATAACGAGTAAAATTGTCATTAAGTCCGATCCTACAGGGGACACACACGACCGTTTATCTCCCCACTAAATTAAAGAAACTAAAAGAAAAATGCTCTCTCGCTCCCGATTTCAAGTCAAAATGGATCCTGGTGTGGATGATTCGGGCATTCGATGAATTAAAACTATCAAAATAGAGTACTTTCCCGAAAAGCTGCGCGCTGTTCACTTAAATTTTTGCTTTGCAAAATATTTAATCTCCAATTTCATTTTGCATTCCTTGCCTTGTATCCAAATATAAGGAATTGACTGCATTTAAGAAGCAATTGAAGAAGACGGAGATTAAAATTTTACGTTAATGATTACTTAGATAGCCCTTATGGCGACAACACTTCCGGTCGCCATCTTGTTTATGAAGGCGACGTCCACAAACAAGATGGTGACCGGCGCAGCTACTAACTACACTGACACTTAAAGTAAAAGAAAAAAAAATCTTCCACTCACCGTTGACATATTTCGGCTGATTCTTTCGCACACACTTTTCTGTATTCTTAACACACGTCCACAATCTTCCTCTTACCCATACTGAAACACGTCCCACTCCCGGATAAACCTTACTCGTATGCTGAACAGGTCTCCTAGTATTTTCGTTTTGCACACAATAGTCTCGTCGATTTCGACAAACACTCCAGATCCACCAATTTTCATTCGGGTCAAATTAGACAAGGAAACCGTCATAACGTGTCGTATGAAATTCGCACAGTTAACAGCTGTTCGACTGCTCACGCCCACTGCCAATCAGCTCGTGTTCAACGTACAGTCTATGCAAATTAGATGTCGAACAGACGAAATAAAGTTTCCCAAGAAATTTTACCAAATTTAACTTATGGCAAACTTAATATATGACGAAATTCTCTTATCAACATCAAATTCAAAGAAAATTTGATTGTAAAATATGGAAAAAAAATCCCTAGAAGTACACTTCTACCAAGAAAACTGTCCATTCCATCAATACATAAGAAAAAATATCAAATACCAAATTTTATAATCCTCTAGCTCATTTGGATCAATAAAAAGTGATTAATTCAGGATAAAAGTTACAAATCAGTAGACTTCATTGTACTGTACTCTGAAAATATCTGATTTAACAATTTCTAATAATTTACCTGAATACAACAGTAGGATGATTGTCAAATGGAATTTCACTTAAGGGCTTATGTTTTTCTGCAATTGTGGCTTACAAATTTTAACTAAATAAAAATATTCAAATTTCTTCCTTTTTAATTACTTTATATATGATTACTTAAGAAGCAATTTGTGACTTGTTTACATATTACAATGATAAAGTATAAACTCAATTATAAAGTAATTTATGTGAATCCCTCTGATTCTGATATATAAATGCAATGTGTGTTCAGTAAGAATCATTTCAAGACATGTTTTGTTTTAGCTTCTTTATAAATTATTTGATTGTTGCATAGATTACTATTCTATATAAATTAGAAAATAAATGACATTCTTTTATCTTTATTGAATCTACATTGAAAGATAAAAACCGAATCGCGTGGAAGAATTGGGTTAACGATGTATTGGGTAACAGCTAGAATACATTAATATAGACTAGAGCGGGGGTGGAAAATTTATGGTTTTCGAGTTAACGTGCGGCTTGTTAATATAGAAACACATTCTTAGTCGTGTTTCTCTTTAAAGACTTGTTACAGCATTAAAATTAGTCTACAATTTTTGGGGCCTCTAGCTTAAAATTTGTATAATTGTGCTCTTGATTTATTTGATCAATCATACTTATTTATCCTATTATTATTCTATTTTATATTATGATTTATTATAACATTAAACTGATGTTAGATAATGCCTTTATTAAATGTATTGTATACCAAAGATGACGAATCTACGACATATGCACCCAAAGAATGACAGACATCGAACGCCAACCAATTTCATTTATTTTTCATTGGATAAAATACAAATAATAATATTTAATTAATTATAAATAGAATAATGCAAATATTGTTGTATATTACTATTATAATTTTAATTAATTCTTCAATACGGAATATTCCAAAGTCAGTTTGATGTTAATCTGACCAAGTATAATGTCTTGTAAATGACATTAATTGGAGTAAATTTGAAAAAATAAATCAAACTGAATATAAAACCAAAATTATAAACTGAATTTACTTTAAAGTTTTTATGACTGGCATGTATGAAATTTATAAGAATTAAAATATTTCTACTTTGGCATGCAGATTCAAAATAGTTTACCATCTCTGGTATGTACTGCACATGTAATTATGCAACCCAAACATGCGAGGGCAAGCGAGATCCATTTGAAACGGACACGGTTCTCAGTTTAACAAAATCCCCCACACAGAATGACTTTTGGCATTTTGATCTTATCTTAATTAAAATGCAGCACTTTAATTTGTATTACTTATTCAGTAATATTTGAAATATGACTCATTCATTCTAGAATTACTTTTGAAAGTTACATTATTGCTTCATATCATTAATGCCTTTAAATCAGATTTAAAAAAGTCTATTACTGATTTCAATAACAGAATAATTAGTACCAATTAATAATGTACAGTCGACCCCCGTATAAGATCATTGATTATTCCGTTTTATATGAATTCCATGTTGTACAAGTCACTTAAATTTTACAAATACGTGAGCCGTTCACAGCCCGGTACACGTATTTGTAAAATNATGATAATCATTCAATTTGAAAGTTCTGGCTAAATGTTTACCTACACACACACACAATTATTAATATTGCAGAAGTACAAGGTATATATCGCTTTAATTTTTTTCCCTAAAACTAGTTTATAAATTGTAGGTTAAGTAATTAATGTGAAATAAATGTGTCAACTTCAGATTTAAATAGTCCTGCTTCTTTGAAATTTCTTTCACTGATAATGCTAAACTACTTTTAGAAAAAAAAAAATTAAAGCAATATATATGTTGTACTTCTGCAATATTAATAATCATTTCAAAATGATATTAATATGAATAGAAATATAAATCAAATGATAAGTGTTAACACAGTACTTACTTCTTCACATGATGTATGCTGCATTCCTTTATAAGTCTTGAACTGCAGTTTTGGCATAAAAGATTTCAGTATTTCATAAGTCATTACACCCCACTTGTGTGGAACAGTATTATCTATATCACCATGACATTGTAATACTGGAATTTCAGTATTATTAATTGCAGCCTAAAACAGTGAAATAAGTGCAATGAGAAAACAGTTTGTAAATAATTTATAGTAATATTAATAAATAAGTAACTATTGAAACAATTTATAAAAAGTTAATACTGAACTCTAATGCACAAAGTAATAGAAACATTTCATAGTGAATTACAAACTTAAAAAAACTCTAGATGGAATCTGAACTGCACTCTCTTTTAAGTGCAATCATTTTGTTCCCTTATATAATTCTAATATCTACAAAACTGTCAGGATGATGTTATATGAAAATTCAGAAACACAAAATAATACATCTAATGCCAGATATAAAACTATAGATTAACTTTTATATACAGAGATTTTTGTTAAATATAATTATTTGTCAGACATTTGAAGACCATAGAAGTGAAAAAACTTTCATTAAATAAACACCGAATCTTTCATATATTTGTACAATAAATTCATACTGACAAAACAGTGATGGTGATTTTTTAAATTGGAATGTTAACAATTACACCAAAGTGTAACAATATCACTTTTCTATATCTGTAAATATTTTTTTGAAATAAAGATCCTAAGAATCTAACTTTTATCATCATCTGCTGAGCAAAGTTATGACTACTTCATCTCAAAAATAATTTATTTAGTCTTACACAGGAGGTAGACAAGTCTGTATAAATTGGTGAGCATCTTTCATTTCCTGAAAAAAAGTTAAAAATATTGTAATTTATATTTCAGGAAAATGTATAAGATTTCTATAAATAGAAATATGCGTTATTAGTTTTTAAACTAATATAATAGGATAATAATATAATCTAGTTTCTTTAAATACTAGATGTTACATCACAAATCAATAGTAACTATTATATAGGGTGTCTGAAAACAATTGTTTATAAAATTTCATATATATATATAAATTAAGTAGTCTATTGAAATGCATTTTGCTGTAAAAGAAAGATCAACTCAGAAAATTTTTTTTATTATAAAAATTAATAAAAAGCTGAGCTGAAGTTGTTTGCATACTTTCAGTGAACCTCAATATGTGCTTTTTTAGTTGCACAAAGAATGTCCAATCGATAACCAATTTCCTGCCAGATACTGTTTCAACAGGATGGTCACCCTCTCACTGGTCAGTTTCCTTATGTAATTTGCTTGATACAGTGTTTCCTGGACGGATTGACCACAGGGACAAACACCCTGGTCCCTAAATCTGATATAATCTCACAAAAAGACANAAAAAACTCTAGATGGAATCTGAACTGCACTCTTTAGTATTCCAATATATTTACCTGTTTATGGTTATACCTTTTTAGTAAATTTTTAGGGTATTTAAATTAATGTTATTTGAATGAAAAACTTATATTAAGTTTTTAATTTATTAATGAATTTAATTAAAATATATTATTATGTTCAATACAATCAGGCACTATGCAATACTTTCCTTTGAGACTTCAGTTTAAAATGTGCAACTTTATTGAATTTCATTTCTTCCTGAAAATTACAGCATGAGTATATTGTAATATATTTTTGAATTTATACATATTACATTCAATTCTGAAGTTTTTATTTATTTATTGAAGTTTTTGATGAAAAATAGCATTAAATTTAATTTCTAAAAGGCCAATTTCTAAAGTTAAATATATATAAACTTTTATAAATTAAAATTTTAAAATAACAAATCTGAAAATATAAAATACAATAAAGTAAAAAGTCTTATAAATGAATAAAAGCTTGTTTTTACCCAAAGATACTAAAGTTTTATTTACTGACATCTATTTGAATTAGATAAAATTAATAGAATTTCTAATCTAACCTTGCTAACCTTCAAGAAACCAAAATTATTATTATGAATAATTAGTTATATTTTAAAATATCTCATATTATTATAGTTGAGTATTGAATTATTACTTAGTTAACACTTTATTATCAAAAGTAAATCTTTTAAGTGCAATCATTTTGTTCCCTTATATAATTCTAATATCTACAAAACTGTCAGGATGATGTTATATGAAAATTCAGAAACACAAAATAATACATCTAATGCCAGATATAAAACTATAGATTAACTTTTATATACAGAGATTTTTGTTAAATATAATTATTTGTCAGACATTTGAAGACCATAGAAGTGAAAAAACTTTCATTAAATAAACACCGAATCTTTCATATATTTGTACAATAAATTCATACTGACAAAACAGTGATGGTGATTTTTTAAATTGGAATGTTAACAATTACACCAAAGTGTAACAATATCACTTTTCTATATCTGTAAATATTTTTTTGAAATAAAGATCCTAAGAATCTAACTTTTATCATCATCTGCTGAGCAAAGTTATGACTACTTCATCTCAAAAATAATTTATTTAGTCTTACACAGGAGGTAGACAAGTCTGTATAAATTGGTGAGCATCTTTCATTTCCTGAAAAAAAGTTAAAAATATTGTAATTTATATTTCAGGAAAATGTATAAGATTTCTATAAATAGAAATATGCGTTATTAGTTTTTAAACTAATATAATAGGATAATAATATAATCTAGTTTCTTTAAATACTAGATGTTACATCACAAATCAATAGTAACTATTATATAGGGTGTCTGAAAACAATTGTTTATAAAATTTCATATATATATATAAATTAAGTAGTCTATTGAAATGCATTTTGCTGTAAAAGAAAGATCAACTCAGAAAATTTTTTTTATTATAAAAATTAATAAAAAGCTGAGCTGAAGTTGTTTGCATACTTTCAGTGAACCTCAATATGTGCTTTTTTAGTTGCACAAAGAATGTCCAATCGATAACCAATTTCCTGCCAGATACTGTTTCAACAGGATGGTCACCCTCTCACTGGTCAGTTTCCTTATGTAATTTGCTTGATACAGTGTTTCCTGGACGGATTGACCACAGGGACAAACACCCTGGTCCCTAAATCTGATATAATCTCACAAAAAGACATCCAGTGGGGTTATGTCAACAATAGTGTGTACTAAATATCTGTTTGTAATGTTACTGTTTTTAAAGAAACCCTTGCAATCTTTAATGTTGTGCAGGAAGTGCTAAACAGCACTTGGCAACAAATCAATTATCAATTGAACATTCTTTGTGCAACTGTAGGAGTACATTTTCAGGTTCACTGAATGTATGCAAAACTTCAGCTTCTGTATTATTTTTCGTAATACATGTTTTGAGTTAATTTTTCTTTTACTACAAACCACATTTCGATAGACTGCTTCATTTTTTAAATGAAATTTTATAATAATGTAGATTTTTCTCAGACACTCTATATATTAAAATTTAACAGAAGAGTACATATTAGAAGTGTTAAAATTTCATCACGGTCATTATTATTACAGCAATATTCTTAGAAAGTATTCAGATAATAATACTGTTCTTGCTTACAATTCTAGTATTATTGACGAATTTATTTGGAATTTTAGTTCAGATATTAAACTTAGCAGAACTGATAATCATACATTAAGCACTTTTATATAATTATTAGAATAAGTATTTTTCAAATGCAAGTTATTCCAAATTTATAAAAATTATCAATCAATCATGTCTTGAATCATTGTCTCAATTCTATGAATGATCTAACAATCTTTGGTATAATGATTTTCAATGTATCAATTTAACATGATGTGATGATAATCATTCAATTTGAAAGTTCTGGCTAAATGTTTACCTACACACACACACAATTATTAATATTGCAGAAGTACAAGGTATATATCGCTTTAATTTTTTTCCCTAAAACTAGTTTATAAATTGTAGGTTAAGTAATTAATGTGAAATAAATGTGTCAACTTCAGATTTAAATAGTCCTGCTTCTTTGAAATTTCTTTCACTGATAATGCTAAACTACTTTTAGAAAAAAAAAAATTAAAGCAATATATATGTTGTACTTCTGCAATATTAATAATCATTTCAAAATGATATTAATATGAATAGAAATATAAATCAAATGATAAGTGTTAACACAGTACTTACTTCTTCACATGATGTATGCTGCATTCCTTTATAAGTCTTGAACTGCAGTTTTGGCATAAAAGATTTCAGTATTTCATAAGTCATTACACCCCACTTGTGTGGAACAGTATTATCTATATCACCATGACATTGTAATACTGGAATTTCAGTATTATTAATTGCAGCCTAAAACAGTGAAATAAGTGCAATGAGAAAACAGTTTGTAAATAATTTATAGTAATATTAATAAATAAGTAACTATTGAAACGATTTATAAAAAGTTAATACTGAACTCTAATGCACAAAGTAATAGAAACATTTCATAGTGAATTCTTCTTCTTCTTCTTCTTGGTGCCATATCAGATTCCTGACGTCGGCGACACCTGGCGTAGGTTAGTAACCCGCCAAGGTGTATACTAGGGAAAGTTACTACCCAGAGTGGTTTCCCGTTGCCTTCTCTGGGGCGCATAGTGAATTACAAACTTAAAAAAACTCTAGATGGAATCTGAACTGCACTCTTTAGTAACATTATATAACAATTTAAATTATTAGGACAAGTATTAGCTTTTAATGAGTTTAAAACTAATTTCATTCTTTAAAAGCCAATTTAAAAATTAGAAACATGTTATACATTCATAGAATAAACATTTTTAATAACTTTTAAATGTTAAAAAATTTTTAACGTTTAAAAGTATATATCCTAGTAGCTTAATTGATAAGAACATTTATAATTTTATTTAAAGTTGAACATTCAAATCTAATTTTAATTATTATTCCTCTTGAAATATGTATTTAAATTATTGTAATAAAAATAGATAGCTAGTTAATTGAATTTATTTTACTATAAATTTGGATAATTCAAAAATGAAATGTAGAGAAATTAACGTGTAGTCAATTGATTTATAAAATGTGTTTTGAGATTCGCCAAACTCCACATTCAGTAAACATCTGGAGTGTGGGTGAAATGTCACATATTTGATATCATTCACATCTAGATAGCAGAGCTGACAGCTAACTTTTTTTTTGTTGTTTAAGCACAGTACATTCACAAGTTCATTGTTGGCTTGACAAGTTGAAATAATAAGAATAAAGTAGTAAAAACAATGTGATATTTTCAAAGAATCTAGCATACTGAGGAACATGCAAAAAAATTAGTTTTCAAAAACAAAATACTTTTTTGAATTTTTAACTAACTAATAATTGAAATTTTGATAATTTGAATGTTTTGGATTCCTATCTCAAATTTTAATAATGATAGGATCCAAATGACTAGAACCATTTGTTTTATTTTCTAGATCTTTATTTTTTTCTCTGAGAGAATATGTGGTTCACACATTTGAGTATATATATATTAAATGTTATTTGATTATTAACAATTCCAGTCATTCAGTATGCAAAATATAATTCTACAGTTATTCTTAAATGATAACTTTCATAACAATCTGAATATTAAAGTTTCTACTTAGTATATCCCAATTATTATTATTCTATTATGTTTATTCAATATAACAGATTTTCAATAAAATATCTTACTCCTGGAAACTGTCTGTTTAAAGGCAACCAACAACTGAAGAGAAGTACACCAGCCAAAGATTTTGGATACCGTAGAGCTGAATAAATAGCTAGAGCTCCTCCTTGTGAAAAACCACCCAACATTATTCTATTGCTTGGAATACCTGATTTTGTTTCTTCTTCAATCAAATTATGAACTGAAATGAGAAATTAAGGTTTAATATATAAATATTCAATTAAAAATAAACAAAATGAAATGTTTACTTTAATCAGTTAAACAAGTACAAAAATGATCTGCATAGTAAAAATTAAACGTAAAGTACACTAATTGAAGAAATTAAAAACCAATTAATATCAAAACGTTTTTGAATGCTATAGCAGTTTTCAGAAATGTATAACATGTTTACTGTCAAATCACTTAAAATGTTAAGCAATAAAATGTCTTGACAGCCAAGTTGTTTTGAATTACAGTGGAACCTTGCTTAACGAGCATAATTCGTTCCAGAATCTTACTTGTAATGCATAACACTCATTAAGCAAAGCAATTTTTCCTATATAAATTAATGTAAAATACAATAATGCATTCCATGCCAAAAAAAATATTCAAATATTTTATGTATAGCATTTATTCAAAGAAAATTATACAATATACATTGTTAAGAAGCGTGAATCATCATTTCTTCTAGCATGGAATGAACCAACCTGAAATGCGAATTCAATTTGCAGGAAAAAAAACACAGATAATATGTCTGATAAACACACCAAACGACATTCCAAATTCTTGGGCTATGTAAAGACTATAATTAAATATTAGAAATCAATTAATTTGACTAGAGGTAGGCAGTTATGCTTCCATCTTGTATTAAATTTAATAATTATAAATAATTAATTTTTAATTAAGACATTTCTAAAATTTAATTTGGAATTGGTCATTAAATTTATTATGAGATGGCAGCATAATTGCCTACCTCTAGTCAAATTAATTGATTTCTAATATTTAATTATAGCCTTTACATACCCCAAGAATTTGGCATATCATTTGACGTGTTTATTATATAACAGACTCAGGTAGTTGATGTTTATACATAATATGTGTGAACACAAGTTTGGAAGAATATGTGATCACAAGCGACAGTAAGATGCTAGCGGAACGAGTGCTAAACTCAGACTGATGGTCATGCGTACAATCTAGACTTCCCCTCCCCTCCCCTCGTCACTTGCTATGCAAAACATTGCTCATTAAGTGAGTCATTATTTTACAATTTGTTTTGCTTGTTATGTGAAATACTCATTATGTGAGGTTCCACTGTATTTTACTTCTTACCTTAAAGTGAAAGTGAAATACTCAGTTAAAATATATATGTACTGTACAGTACATTATACTGATATTTTCAAGAGAGATAATCTTGCTATTTCTATATTATTCTGTTCCAAATCTAGTTAATCAACTTTTTGAACTTGGCTTTAAATATATAAATAATATATAAAGCTGTCAGAGTGATTTGAAAGTGTAAATGATAATCTATTAGCTTGTATGCAAGAGTTACAGATTTGAACAGTTCTTAAAATAATTTTAGCAGAGAAAAAAATTATTATTTAATTGTGCAATATATTGAATAAATATTGATTTGCACACTGCTATATAAAATCCTTATAATTAATTTTTATTGATGCTTAAATCAATATAATTTGTAACTCAAATTCAATAAGTATATGTTCAAATATTGTGTCAATCAATGTTGCAAACTAAAAATGAAAGTGATAAGAATGTAACTTGGCAAATTAACCAGAAGTGAAACAGAGTATTTTGTATTAAGCATATTGCACTGTATTTAAAAAGAAAAAATGTAATAAATACTATTTGGCAAGCAATTTGTACAGAAAGCAATGTTAGACATTAAATAAATAATACAAAATGACACAGCAGAAATACACAATGTGACAAATGTGTTATTTAAGAAGGACAAAAAATTGAATTTTTATATAAATAATTTGAGTATACTCATCACAATAAATAAATTATAAAAGCACTGCATGAGATAATATGAGTACATAATGGGAAGATCAGGAAATGCATTTATACAAAGCTTCAGAAGTATGAAACAGAAGGTAAGTGATGGTGATGTAGAACCAAAATAATGGAGGATATTATCAAGTAATAAATGAAGTCCAAAGAAATTAAAAAAACAGTTGGCATAGACTAAGAAGGAATGGAAAGTCAATATTCAATGCATCAATTCAGATAACTGGAAAAAAGACTAATAAAGAAAAGACAAGCAGATTATATTAATACATTTAGCAAACATAATAAAATGAATTTTTGGATTTTTGAATATATGGTTTTTATTGATAAAATCATCACCAATTAAAAAGTTAAATGACAATTTCATATAAATTCTAAATGTTTATATAGCTACTTTTCTGGCATGCATTTTTTATGCCTTCTTCATCTTCTGGACCAGTTGCATCCAAAGTCTTCAGATCAAACCAAGATGGCATTTGGATTCCTCCATTCAATGTGACTGGCATGGGAGATCTAAAAATTAAATAATACAGATTTAATATCTTCATTACCAAATTTTAATGTATTTAAAATCATAATATAAATATATATTTGTTTTTAACTATTTTCAAAATAAACTAGTTTTGAAATTGGTCTATTTGTGATAACACATTAAAATTTTTCAAATATACTTCGTTTTCTACAAAACACAATATTACAAACTTAATAATTCACAAAATAATATAATTTTATTAGTTTAATGTACTATATTTTACTTTGTCAATCTTAGAAAATTGATAAATTGTCACATTAAGTAATTTACATATGAAAGTTGACATAAAATCTAAATTTACTTTAAATTTATCCACTCTTTCAACATTCTAAAAAATAGCATCAATTTTTATTAAGATAATAATAAAAAGAAAAAATGGATATTAACAACATTGTGGCTAAACACCAACCAAATGCCAAAATTCTATCGGGCTAGTTTAAGGCTAATTACTAAATGAATTACGTAACCAATTTGGCTCTAGAGGTAAGCATTAGGCACCATCTCTTATTAACATTAATAATTATAAATAAATTAATGTTAATAAGAGATGGCGCCTAACGCTTACCTCTAGAGCCAAATTGGTTACGTAATTCATTTAGTAATTAGCCTTAAACTAGCCCGATAGAATTTCGTCATTTGGTTGGTGTTTAGCTATATTATATATCAGGTTTAGCGATGTTTGTAACAACATTGTGGTCACTTATACAAACTGTTGTTTATGATGTCCTTTAACATATGTCAAAATTCATCCTTTAAGATGTAACACCTTTTCATAACGCTACATTAACAATTTCTTCTGTTATGTTATGCATTCTTGCTTTCCAAACAACTGCTAAAAAACAAATTAACTCAAAAGGTAGAAACTACCTGTGTTAATAATAAATGGCTTGTTGGAGTTAAAACATCAAATAAACGTAATATATCTGACATTATTATGAGTATGATCATGAAATTTAACAATTTTAAAGTATATATTACCTGAAATTAAAATAGTGGCATCAAACTGTACATATAACATACATCTTTAGTGATGATATTAGCTTATTTATATTTATGCAGAATACAAAAAAAACAATAAATATATTTGCATAAAAGATAACATAATGTAGGTTCTATAGAAAAGTGACTGCCACATTTGAAGCATTCAGGTATTTTTAAGTGTCATCTTCACACTTGAATTTAAATTTGATATTAAAAAGAAAAACATTTGAAATCAAATACAGTAAAATCTCTATTAGAGGTCACCTCTACTTAATGGACATTTTTACAATCTCCAGACCCTTCAAATAGGAAGTCTATTATATTTACTTCTAAATAGCAGACACTACTGTCCATAACCAAACTTATGAAAACACAATGTCCCACCTTCAATATTCTGGAAGAATTTATTGTGTGTGAAATATTTAAAAAAAACTAAAAAATCAGTTCAAATACTCTTTTCAGATAACAAATTTTGATGGCAAGCATTGTATAAGGACTGGCTTAAAACAGAAATAGGAGAAGAGAGCTGGTTGTAAAAAGCTGAACAATATTCTTTATCTCTTAGAGAAAGCTAATCTGGCTAATCTGGTAATCACTACTTAATATCATACATATTAATCTTGTTGTTCACTGTTTTTTGCCCTTAGTTAACATTTTTCAACTTATATAAGACATCATTGCAATGAAATACAGTACTAATGAATATAAATGATATGCATATTTTGATTTCACTGCAATTTAGATTCAATTTATGAGCTCTATGATGGCTTTTCTTTTCCACTAGACTTATTACACTATCGTTCAGAAACAGACAAGCTTTAGAAAAACGCATTTTATTTTGTAAAATATGCATTTTGGACTTTGAGTCCCTTATCAACTGTTTAGGAAATAATGCATACAAGTTAACAAAATTTTGCACTGTTACAAAATACATGGTTATGAGAAGCACAGAAATGGTGACAATTGATAAAATATGGATGACAATTATTAATTTACAGGTATTTGCTATAACAATAGTAGAATGTTAATGATTTACAAGAATATATATCTTTTCATATATATAGATTTGTCCAATATATATAACATAGATTACATTGCAATTTAGATTTTTTAAAAATCTATTCAATCCTCATACTATAAATATATTGCTATATATATTTTATGTATTATATATTGGACAAATATACAGCATATTTGATAAAGTTTATCATCAAAATCAAGATATTTGAGAAGAAAACATTACAGAAGCATGCTATTGATATGTGCTATATATGAGTTTGGATTTCATCTGACAAAACATTTCCCCCTAAATCTTGGGTTTCTTGATTACTAATCACAGTTAATAGGATATAACAACTATTTCTAATTATATCTGAATAGACAAATTTCTAATTAAAATATGTAATATATACAGTGGTACCGTGTACCTAAATGTTCCAAAGTTTGAATGCTAAATTTGACCCAGAGTTCAAACTGCATACACAGTGAAAAATGCTCCTGCTGTGAAAACATCTCTTGCATTATGTTTCTATGTTTTTAGAACATTTTTGCTTTATTTTTGATGTGTTTAGCTATATATATCTCCTATATATCAACCATGGCTCCATGAAGAGTGAAGCAATGAAGTCCAAGAGTCAGATTCTAGTATTGACAACTGAGGCGAGAAAGAAATTTAGGAAGCATAAAAGCAGTATAATACATGTGTGGCAGGTCTGGTTGCTATATTTAAGATGCTGAGGTCAATGGTGTACCCAATTCTTAAGAACAAGAAAGCAATAATAGCAGAAAATGTGACAAAAAGTGTAACTATGTTGATCTCCAGGAGATTGCATATTATTGAGATGGAAAATTTCTAATGTGAATAAATGAGAAGCAATTGGCTGATAATATTATCTCAGAATATTATTTGCAAGAAAACCAAGCAGCTGCATAGTGATGTTAAGAAATGGAACACCACCACTCCTCACTAAGGTACAGTAAATGCAATTTTCATTTTATTACATGGAATTTATGTATTTAGTTTCTTGTTTTCATATTTTAATTTATAATTTAGTGAATTTAATTGTGTTATTTTTACTTTAAATCATGTATACTTGCTGTTTAAGTTTATTGGAATGATTATTGTTTAGGATTATGAAATGAATTAATTTACTCTTTCTTTATTTTTATTAGGGAAATTGAATCGTACTTTGAATAATTCAATTTGAATGGCCTCCTGGAACAAACAAAATCTGAAGTGTGAGGCACCACTAATTAATTTTAAGTATAAATCTCCAAACTGTATTTTATTGATTATACAAATAACTAATTTTAAACAACTAAAAATACTTACGCAGATGGACAAATGAATTTTATATGGGGCGATTTAAATGACTCCATAGCAAGAGCCCATCCATGGCTGAAAGAGAAAAAAATTCATTGTATCATAATCTAGAACAATGCAAATCAACATTCAATAATAAAATACATGGTATCAACTAGAAAAATTTGGAAGCAAATCAAATTATTTCAGCCTAAAACTTAGATTTAAGATTTTAAAAATAAGAAAAACAAATTTAATTAAGTATTAAAATGAAGTCATTTTAATTTATAATTGATATTGGACATATAAATAAAAATATCTATATTTGGATTTTAAAATGTATAAATTTGTAAAGAACTATAGATAATATATAATTTAAAATGCACGGTTTTTTGTATTTATTAGATTTTATTAGATAATTGTTATTTCTCTTATTTTGTTAATGGGAGAAATGCTATTTGCCTTGGTAATACACATATCTTATACAGCACCAAGGCCAAATGATTGCAGGATTAGATCAGGTTATACTTGAATCCGATGTAATCTGGCAATTGTTTGGCTTAACATGACTATTGAGTTTACAGATTTTTATATTTGTTTACATTAAATCTATAACTAGTCAAGCAAAATATGATAATCAAATATAGCACAAAAATTTTTGATTAATTCATTTTATTTATTAAAAATAAACTGAATTATAGAAAAAATAAATAAAATAAAATCAGTCATTTCTGTTTATTTAATCAATCATTTATATTGGGCAATGTTCGTTATATATTAATCATGAGTGAAACAAATAAGTCACACATTTAAGATGTCTCTTCTGTCATTTATATACTAGCTGCAAGGACCCGCTTCGCTGGGTTTTTATTTGTTCGTACATTTGTATGTAATATAGTTTATTTTATATATATAAAAGACTGTTTTTCTAAGTAATCTAGAATCTAGCTGCAAGGACCCGCTTCGCTGGGTTTTTAAAAAGTAACGATAGTGAAAATTAAGATAATTACATTATAGCCAATTTTACCTGTTTTCACAGAATGCAAGAATTAGGTCCCCCGTTTCTGATTAGAGATCTGGTCCCGATTCGATTTCTGAATGTCTCCTGTTCACGTCAAGTCAAACGAACTATTTTCAACGTTTCTGGAACGTTTACAATCGTTCTATAATCGAACCAATATTCTAATTTTATGTTCGAATTTAATTCAAACAAATTCGAACAAATCGAACAAAACATTCGAAATAGAAAGCCACTTTCAACCACTTTCAGCCTCATATCTCCCGCACCCTTATAGCTATCGAGACGCAACCACCCCTATGCACAAATGGAGACTTGGGGCTACCACCACATACAAACACCATTCATGTGCGATGTGTAGTTTTGGCAGAAAAGTGAAATATAGGGACATACATGTCCATTTATATATATATATATATATATAGATTATTGACAAAACTATGTCTTGTTTATAAAATCATACCATCTGCTGTGTTACCAGCATAGAGGTATGAAGGAGTACATGTCGTTAGTTGATATTTGTCACAGAGTATTACGTGCCCAAATCATTTGCGCATAAAAAAATCCAGACTCGTAGGTAGTCGGGAGACCAAGAACTGAGTCAAAATAAAATCCAAAAACAGCGATACCAAAGAAGATTGGAGAATGAGAACGAGACCTGTCTTGAGAGTCAAAGCGATTCTGCTTAGTAGTGAGTCTCCAAGACATAGTCTTGTTCCAAATATGGTTTTGCCATTTTACTTGTTTACATTTATGTTTAATTTCTCAGTTAATTAATCTATTTAATAAGTTAATTGATCAACTAAGGAATAGTTATTACAAACAAGAATATTTTCAAAAAAAGATAAATTATATGTAAATGTAAATAAAAGCAATAGAAAATATTTTGAATGATAATTTTGACTTATTCAGAAATTTCTTTTAATTTAGGACTATAATTATTAATTGCACACTAATTAATATACTCAAAATGATATAGCAAATCTCAATAATACACTTGGCATAGGCAGTGTCATTTTTATTCAAAATATTTATTGGGTTGCAAATTTGAAAAAATTGTACACCTATAAATTCCCACTTTTGTCCATCCATCTGCCTTTCCTTAATCTTGATAACAAAGTTAGATAGATGAAAGCCAAGACCAGATATGAAAACCTTAGGGACAGGAGGCCCCAATTAACTATATACGAACTTTCAGTTTGCACCTAAAGTCATGTTATTTCAATTCAAAAATCCCCCGAAAGGAGTTAGATAGATAACAGGCATTTTAAGCAAAAAGTATTTTCCATTATTCTTTCAATTGGTTTAAGCTCTAACTATTGCCAAAAATATATTTATTAAAAAGAAAAATGCGATCATTTTGCTTTAAGAATAAACATTTTTCTTATAAAAGAACATTTATTTTCAGCAAAAAGTTTATTTATTTTTGTACTTTTCTACTGAAATTAGGGATACATTGAGAATTTTCTATTAAAAAAATTAAAAATATAAAAATCTGATAAAACCTGTTGTTATCCTTCAGTGGTGCCAATAGACCATGAAAAAAAGGGAAGCACAAGCTATAAAAAAGGGGCATCGTACATTATACAAGGCACTTCAAACTATGATTTAACATCGCATAAGTGAGTTTGCCTCAAAAACAAGGAATGAAATTTTGGTCAATACATGACGAAGTTCCATAGGCCAATGACCAAATATCATTCATTAATTTCTTTTATATTTGCAGAATAAGCTAGAAGTTACAAATTTTTTGTTGTCTGGGGATCTCTCGGGGATTAGGAAAAAGGCAACCGAGACAAAAAGGGAACCTGTGCCCCAAGTGTCCCAATGTATGGGCGTCTGTTATCCTTTTACTTTCCAGACTTTTCATCAGAGGTAAACTTTAACAACAATAAATTAAAAGACTAAAACCTTTACTTTGTTATTTTCTTTATTTTTCTCATAAATGCATTTTGATCTTCCAATCCTCATCAGTATGTTAATACATTTCATAGAACAAATTGTTCCCTACAAATAATAAATTTGAAAATTTTCCATCACAAATGCAGTGTGATTAAAATAAGAATCTTTAATATTTAATAATAATTAAACATATAGCAGTTTTTTGGAAGCCACATAAGAGGTATAATATCATTTGGGGTTATGTATTTTTTGTCCTTCTTCAGTCCAATTTATTAAGTAGTTCCCATTTAACATCAACTTCATAAATTAAGAAATTGGACTGAGAAGGGGGGGAAAAGCTCTCAAAACATTAACATTATTCAATTTAATCATTATATTAACAGAATTTACTATAAATTGATTTAGCTGTTTCTCATGGAAACTGTCAAAATCAGACACTTAACTTAAATTTGATACATAGCTAAGCTCTTCCATTTTCATGTAGTAATTTATGTTAAAACAAAATGTTCTTTATTACAAAAGTTCTCAGAAATTTATTTTAACTTAAAATTGAATTCATGCTTATTTTTACTTTAACTTAGATTATACCTCATTACTGATTTATATAGTATTCAAATTGCCCAACTTCAATTAAATACAGTTGAAGAAATGCAACAAAATTTCATTTTACACAAAAGAGTTTGTTTTAACACAGTATTTAAAATATTCTTCAGTATTGTGTTAATATTTTGTTTTAAAATAAGCGTTTTTGTTATGAAAAGTACTTTAACATTAAAGTTAGCTCAATATCAGAAAACTGAACAAAAATAAAAGCCAAGCTTTGATAACTGATTTTATTGAGACCCGATCACCAATGTCTTTGATAAACTAATTAAAAAAAATTGGGATTGAAGAAGTTAATGATTTATAAAGAGATTTACTTAAAATTCCATTTTGTAATTATTAAACAAATCAAAAACAACACAAACATTGAGAATATCACATACTACCATCTCTAAGTAAGACAATTCACTGAACAAATTTGAGACATGACACTTCCCAACAGGAATATTACTACTCATGTAACTTGAGATTGTAGACAACCTGGATGCCTAAAGTCTTATTAATTTAAAAAAATCATAAAAAACACCATGTTTGTTTTTTGTAGTATATTAAATGACTGTTAAAGTTTGCACTCAGCATATTTGTTTCAAAATACTTACAATAAATTAAATAGTGTTTTTGTGAAACAAACTATGCTTTTTTTTGTGGAAAAGCAATGCCATAGTTTGTTGAAACCAAATCTGCTACTTGGACCCAGTTAAACTACAGAAAAAATATGAAAAATCTTCATCCAATTCTATTCATCAGAAGCATAAGAAATTTATGGAGACAGGATCAACACTGAATGGAGAGAGAAGTGGTTGACCAAGACCATAGTCCTAGGAAAATCCATCAGTACTACTCCAAAAACTTACAAATTCTGCATTCAAATGGTACACAAATTTTATTACTACTACACAAAAATGTGTGACTAAACATTTACAAAGGTGTAACTTCAACAAGCATGCTGAAATACGCAACCATATATGAGCCGCTCACTTGCCAAATTGATTAACTCCATAAAACAAAAAGCTTAAAAATGAATAATATAAATTATTTTTAAAAATTCCTTTTAAACTTTAAATGTAAATAAACATTGTAGAATGTATTTTTATATATATCATTATATATAAAATTAGTTATGCAAAAAACGTAAAAATAATAAAGATTTGTAAATCCTTAATATATTAAGGATTTACAAATGGAGTTAATCAATTTGACCCATGAACAGCTCATATATTTCTGATAAACTTACATTCCAAATCTCTAAGATTTGGAATGTAAGATTTTGGTTAACTTTTTCAGATTTCCAAATCCTACATTGACTCCATGGAAACTACATGAAACTAGAGCTAACAGGTGACAGACCTAAGATGAATGTATGGTGTGGTATCTTGCACAATTAGACTTTGTTCTGCAAAGAAAAACTAGAGAGGTTGAGGCGCACGTTTTAAACGTGTAAACGTGTACGTGTGACGTTCGGCGCCGCTTTCCCTTAAGCCTAAAGGTTTGATGATAGTGTTTGGAATGTCGAGCGTAATTCCACCGACTATCCAAACACCATTGTCAAACTTTTAGGCTTACGGGAAAGCGGCGCCGAACGTCACACGTACACGTTTACACGTTTAAAACGTGCACCCCAACCTCTCTACTATTACTGCAGAAGGGTACCCACTGTAGATCTTTCGACTAAATTTGTGGTGCCACAGTTATCATTTTTCAACAGAATGCTGCACCCTGCCTTGGAGACTGTATGTGTTCCTAAATCAAACATTCCTAACCAGTGGGTTGAAAGGGATGGCCCAATTTCCTGGCTCTCTTGTTCTCCAGACATAACATAACTCCTATGAATGACTTCTCATGAATGTCAATATTGTGTATTGTATAAAAAAGTACAGGACATCATAAACCTGAAACAAAGGATTCAGGATGAAATTTTTACCATCCATGATCAGTTGTGATGAACATGGCTTGGAATTAAATATCTACTTGATTTGCTATAAGCAACAAAGATGCACAGGTGTGGTAAAATAAGGTAAAGAAATGCAATGAACAAAGCTGGAACTATCAAATTGAAGCTAGTGTGTGAAACCTGACAAAGCATTACAAAATATGCCAAAAATGTTTGTTATTTATAAATGTATTTGTTGGAAATGCAAGGATGTTGTTGCGAGTTATTGGTTAAAAAGTCAACAATCACTAGTTATTTTTGTGTGTTAATTTCTTAGGTGTTTTCTACACTTTTGTCAAATTGGTAAAAAGAGTATATGGACACTATTACAACTTGTTATATTTTCTCTTTGACATCAGTCAATGATACAACTTATTACATTTTTTTTTTTTTTAAACTAGAAAGTCAATAATTACAGTAGATAATTAAAATAATTTGACATAAATGATAAGTAGATAATTTTAAATTGGTAACATACCTATTTAATATAAAATTAAATTTAAAAAATTATCTGAAAAAGAAACAGTATGTAGTAGATAAAATATCAAACTCATGCATGCACAGTATTATGTATGTATTCATACAATATTGAATCTTTTTTTAACTATATTTATTCAGATATTTTATAATATACTTAGATATATATGAATTGCAGATTTAAATCTTTTTCAAGCCTCCCCATTTTTAAACTAAATTAAAATAATTTAACTTTTAACAGCTGATGGCCAAGAGGGTTAAGGCATCAGCCAACCACTCTGAAAGATGCAGGATTAAAAGGCAAGCAAAGAACCCCCAGAAATATTTTACGAGCAATCTATCCTGGTAATGTCTGACCCATATTTCATCCTGTTGTGGGCCTGAGTGAGTCCATGATGAGAATAGAAAAAAGAGTCCGGGGATAAAAAATATCTATCAAAAGGATAGTGAATTAATGACAAGTTATTATAAATCATTAATTTTCTTGAAATTAAAAATCAATAGTACTTCATATAATTAAACAAAATGTTTAATGTATAGTTTAAACATTACATGATCCATCATTAATTACATGTTAGAAAATATATTCAGAGAATAGTCATTATCATCTATCAGTCTTAGCAGGCTTTTAAAACTAGCAAATCTTAAATTATATAAGTAATTTCAATAACAAAAAATTAACTATTTCATGAACAAAAAATATAAAATTGTAGTATTTATAACAAATATTGCAATAAAAAAATAATTTTCCAACAATGAATTGCGAATTATAATTTGAATGATAATGTTTTCCCTAGGATAAAAAGGAATTGGTATTTCAAAAAACATTTTTAAAATGATATATGCACTAAATTGCTGTAAACAGATATAGCATATTATATTCTTACGATAAAAATATATCAAAAAATTAGATTTATATTACAACTTGACAATCAATAAATTAACTGAGTGACTGTAAAAATTTTTTAAATATTGCATATAATAAACACATTTAAATTTAACAAACAGTAAAAACATTTTAAATTTTATCAGTCAGAAAATTTAAGATCTGATGACATAGCAAATTAAAAATATCTGAAACTTTTCTACTAAAGAAAGTTTAGAAATAAATTAAAAGAAATGAAAAAAAAAAAAAATTTATCTTTGAGAGAGATAATGAGAAACAATAAAGACTACCACCAACATTATAAAATTCTAAAGTAATAGATGAAATTATTCTGAGCATTTTTATGATATGCTACACAGATGTTTATGCCTCTTCACATCATAACAAAACATGTAGACAGAAAATGAACTAAATTTTACTTAATTTGTTTAATAGAGTAATTTAAAATTTGCCATACATAAAAATTATTTTTATGACCTTAATAGCAGTAACTCAATTTTTAATACTTTCTAAAAAATTTTCTATTTGTAATCACCATAACTATAGTAACCTCAAATTGCCAATTTTTTTTCAAACAAATTCAAACAAAGCATTATAACTCAATTATTAATTTCAATTATTAATAATTGCTTAATTATTAATAAAGTTATTAATAACTTCAAAAATATTAGTAACATAAGGAACTATTAATAATTATTAATAGTTCCTTATGTTACTAATATTTTTGAAAAATATAAACCAATATTTAAAGAATTTTCTATATGTATAGTTGCGAACCAAAAGAATAAGATGTCAAATATTATCAGTATAATAAACAGTGAAAATTCGCCCAGAGACCAATTTAAGATCGCTGGTGTAGTATACAAAATGTCACGTACTGTACATGTGGAAGTCCAAATTATTACATTCGAGAAACCGGAAGAAGATTGGAGTTGCGAATAAAGGAACATGAGGCGGCCGTTAGACTGAGAAGAACGGAATCAGCATGGTTTTTACATTGTAGAGAATTTAACTGTAATATAAGTAGAAAAAATACTAAAATATTGTATAAAATAGAAAATAATTTAGAAAGAAAAATTGTAGAACATTTTTGTATCGCCTAACATGTGAATGTACTTAATTTGAATGCTGGAATGGTTGTTGATGCATGCTGGGAATGACTGTTGGAGCGTAACCAGCGATTGTTATCTTGATGTATCCACTGAGGAGGCCTGATGGCGAAATGCATTTGGATCTTATTAATAAAATAATGATAGTTCCTTGCCACTTATTTGTTATTTTTTTGGCTCATGGAATCCTCGAAGTCGAAAATAGAAAGAGTATAATTTTACTTGTTTTTACCTAAAAATGTATTTTTAGTGTGTTAAAGCATTGTAACATTTTTACACATTACTGAAGATGGTAGTAAAGAATATTAGATATGTTATTAAATTATTCCAGTAGAGTAAAGATGTATCAATTTTTCTAATTCCAAATGACAGATATCTTCAAAAATTTTATAAAATAAGAACTACAAGAAAACACCTAGTTAAAATGATCCACAATATTATATTTATAATATGTAGTAAGCAAATGTAAATAGTTTGTAATGTAATAAGTAAAAATGAAGCAAAAGATTAATTTATATAATTATATAAGTTATATGTACTACAGAAAATAGCCTACTTTGAAGTATTCAAATGGTATTACGTTCATTTAACTTGCAGAAATTATTGTTTAATTCTCTAATCCGACCATCTTCCTAGATGCTTCTAAATTAACTTAATTAGAGCAAATTATTTAATCATTAAATATTAAACAAATGGCAATTCTGTCGATCTCAATTAAATTTTGTGTCATTATTAACTATAATATAAGCTTAAATATAATCCGATAAAAACCGACAATTGTTCAGTGTTTGAATTCAAAAAACAAAAAATAATCTAAAAATATACATCCTCA